CATGGACTAATTAGACTTAATAGATTTATCTCGTAAATTAGTCTCAATCTGTGTAATTAGTTTTTTTTTATATTTAATCTATATTTAATACTCCAAATTAGTGTCAAACAACCGATATGACAGAGACTAAAGTTTAGGTGGTGTTTAAATCCAGGAAGTAAAGTTTAGGGATGTCACATTAGGTGTCACATGAGAGTGTTCGGATACTAATAATAAAATAAATTACAGAAGTCATCACTAATCCGCGGAACGAATTTATTAAACTTAATTAATCTGTCATTAGCACATGTTTACTGTAACACCACATTATCAAATCATGGACTAATTAGGCTTAAAAAATTCGTCTCGCAAATTAGTTGTAACCTGTGTAATTAGTTATTTTTTAGTCTACATTTAATACTCCATGCATGTGTCTAAATATCCGATATGACAGAAAGTAAACTTTAAAGAAAGGAACTAAACAAGGCCTTAGTTCTTGAACCAAACACCCCCTAATAAAGCTATTGTCGTCTCTCTCGTCTTCTTGTTTTCCCACTCCTATATGGCTCTACAATTTTAGTTATGACAAATTCCTACGATACGTTTTCGAACTTATGAAAATCAAACTATTATTCTATGTAAATTTTAGTTTACGTGAAATATTTAGGTATTCATTTATATCAAACTAAAAAAAGGATAGATCCAGTGCTGGAGGCTCTCACATGAGTGGGGTCTGGGGAAGAGAAAAACCGAGACAAGCTCTACCCCGCAAAATCTACGTAGAGGCTGCTTCGAACTCACGACCTGGTGACTCAGTGAGACAGCTCTCACCACTGCACCAGGCCTGCCCTTCTATATCAAACTATAAACTTTTCATAAATTTTATTCACAAATTTATTTACTAATTCTATTTTATGTAGACCGTTTATTTCTTTAGTTTAATCTAAACCATTAGATTATCATAAAATCTAATAGTTTGGTCTTCTCCTTTTTCATATTAAGATTTTATATTAATTTAGGCCATTCGCCGAATGTGATGGCTTCTTTTGAGCTATTGTAATAATAATATAAGAACATTGTTGTTGGGGCACGGTTACGAACCGCGGAGGATCCAATGATCGCAGTGGCGCTAAGAACTGACGATTAACCATGACTCTGCGAGCATTGTGTAGGGAAAAGGACAGAACCTCCGCCTGGTCGGGTGCCATGAGCGAATGTCCGGGAACCGTGGCGAAGGCGCCTGAATAGGGCCGAACGTGAAGGCTTGAGCGATACCTGCGGAGGCTACAGGAGTCGGTGCGAAGGCTCGTGCGAAGGTCATTCCGGGTGGAGGTTCCAGGAGCCAGGGGCCTTCCCGCAGGGTGGCGGTGCCAGGCCGTGGGCCGCAAACGGACTCATGATAGCGGCCCATCAAGCAAAGGCGGTTGGAAAAGAAGGCACCCAAAGTACCCCTAGCGGGTTGTATTAGGAATATTCCGAGGATGTACTGTAACCGACGAGGGGTAGAATTATAAAGAGTAGCCTTAGTAAGCAGTGGCCTATGAAAGGAGGACCAAAACTTTGTACAAGGGGGTGTGTGGTTGGATGAATTTAGGAAACCCTATTTAGGCTTGGGCCCACCATCTGCTTCTCATACCTTCGCCCAGGGCATTCGACTGGGCGAAGGCCTTCCTTGTCCCACCTGCTGGAAATCCCTCTTTCCAACATTGGCGCCCACCGCGTGTTGGCCGAGCAAAAACTGCGATGGCAAGAAAAAGAGCTGCCTCCGCACAGTCACCTACGGATCCTGCACCAAGGGGAAGACCCAGGCATAGCGCCCGTAATGCCTACACTACTGCCATGGAAGACCAAGTCACAGAGGAGCCGGACGACGAAGACCAGCCTCCGGCACCTGAAGAACAGCAAGCCCCAAATCTCACCCGGAGCAAGAGCTTTAGTAGCTACAGGCGCAACTACAAAGCATGCAGCAAGAAAGGAATAGGGTTGCAGCAGCCTTCGCCGCAAACCAATGGGCAACCCAAGCATCAACCCAGGCAGCGGAGATCAGGCAGCAGCTAGCCGTCTTACAGGCCAAAATACAATGTATGCAGCCTCCGCAACCCCTTTCCAACACACCCAACCAGCTTCACTCAGCATGTCAAAGCCAACCCAACCCCCCGCCAGATATAACAGCTCAGCCAACCTTCAGCACGCCCTACACATTGCGACAAATCCACAGAACCATTGATTCCAAATCACAACTATCCAAAGGCATCTAGAACTCGCCTTGGCCCCCTCCTATAAACCCATTACTTTACCCAAATTCAATGGAAGATCAGACCCGCGCTAATTCATCATGAGCTTTGAGGCAGCAGTAGCTTCCGTCGGAGGAAATGAAGCGGTGCTAGCTAAATCTTTCGTCATCGCAGCTGAAGGCAACGCGCTAGCCTGGTATTCGATGTTGAAGTCAAGTTCTATGTATTCATGGGAAGACCTTCGCGACAAGATCCTGGCAAATTTCAAGGGATTCACAAGTGAATCCTTGACTTCCATGGATCTATTCCAATGCAAGCAAAATCAAGGAGAAGCCTTAAAAGACTACTTTCATAAATTCATGCAAATGAAGGCAAAAGCACCCAATGTCCCAGAAGATGTTGCTATCGAAGTAGCAATCAAGGGCCTTCCCATAGGACCCTTCGCAGCTCACCTAGCTAGGGAAAAGCCAAGGACCATCGAACACCTTTACAGCGAATTTGAGAAGTATTGCAGATCTGACAATGACCTTCGCAGAAGGCTAGAAGAGCAAAACCAGAGCAAGCAGATCCAGGGCAACAACAGGAATGCCCAGAGGGGCAGTAGAAGCCAAGGTCAGCCATAGCCACAACAAGAGCAAAGCCAGCAAGTCTTTAATATAGAACAACAAGGAAGCAGCCAGGAAGGGCAGCAACCGGCGAAGGTAGGCCCAACCAGTGTGCCTCAGAAACAATCCGAGGGCAAGGGAAATGACCAAGATAGGAATTGGAATAGAAACCAAAACCAAAGGCAGCGAAGGTAGTACTACTTCTTTCATGGAGAAAATAAGGGGCACATCACCAGGGATTGTCTAGATGCTAAGGAGACCCAAGAAAGGATCAAAAGCAGAGCAAATCCGTAGCCTCCACCACAATAACCCGTAAGAGAGGTAAACCATACCTTCGCAGCATCTTCTCAGCAGCAATACTACCTAATATACCCAAGCCTAAACTCCACCAAAATTCACCCATCCACTTTAGCGGCCGCCTACTATCCAAATTTTCTACCCGCATGACGACCAAGAACTCAGCAGCAGGGGCGGACTAGCAACTAACGAACTGAAGCCAACCTCACCTACATAAACCCAAGGCCTCCGCACATAACATTCATTGAGACCAACCAGCCATCTCAAGTACACAATAGGCAACTAGAGGCATTGCCTCTGCCTGCACCAATGTAGCCGGTAACGCCCAAAAGCGAACCCAACCCAGAAAACCAACTCAACCCTCACACACCGCTATCCACCATCGGCATGATATTGCCTATAGCCGGAGTCTCCTCTATGGAATTCTAGACAAAGAAGCAGAAAAAAGACCACCTCAGGTTGATCAACAACATAGCAGTCGAAGGCCCAGTGCGCTACTCAGATTGGTCGAAGACGCCAATCACCTTCTAGAACAAGATCTACAGCTAGAAAGCTACCCGCACACTGACACCATGGTGATCAAGGCTAACATTGCAGGATGGGAAATTAATAGGGTTCTTGTAGACTCCGGAAGCTCTGCAGATATTATCTTTGTCAATGCCTTCAACCAGGTGAAGTGAAGCAGGAGTTAGTTGTAGCGTTCGGACTCACCATTAATTGATTTCGGAGGAAAGAGGATCGATGCACTAGAAAAAATTTCCCTGACAGTCTCTTTCGGAGGTCAGGAAAACGCAAGAACAAAATACGTGACCTTCGACGTAGTAGATCTCTACTACCCTTATAATGCCATCTTCGGAAGAGGGTTTGCAAACAAATTCAACACAGCCATCCACATAGGCTATTTATGTATGAAAATGCCAGCCTTACACGGAACCATCACAGTCCACGACAGCCAGAAGGAGGCAAGAAACATAGAAAGAGTCATCTACAAATCGCAACGCAATATCAATTCTGTCGAGGCAGCCAAAAGCAACTCACCGGAACCTCCAGACATGCCGAAGGGCAAAACAGACCTCAAAGTTCAAGAAGAAACAAAGTCGGTATCGTTGGACGATGCAGTATCAGATAGAAAAGTAACCATCGGAGCCAACTTATCGAAGGAAGAAGAAGCAGAACTCATACAAACTCTAGCCAAGAATAAAGATGTATTTGCCTGGTCAGCCTCCGACCTGAAAGGAGTCGGCAGGGACATTATTGAGCACTCAGTTGATACAAATCCAAAAGTAAGGCCGAGAAAACAGTGTCAAAGGAAAATGTCTGAAGAAAGAATCCTGGCGGCGAAGGCAGAAGTCCAAAGATGGTTAGACGCCAACGTTATCAGAGAGGTCAAGTACTCAGAATGACCGACAAACGTAGTACTAGTGCCAAAGAAAAATAGGAAAAAGATAATGTTGATGAATGTGCTAATAATCTCATTAAAATTCAGTGTAGACTTAACAATAACCACTATTACATATGTAAGAAACACCGTTTTTGGGAGAGATGGCTCCACCTCGATTTGTGATAATGTTTTTATTAATTTATGATAAAGTGAATACATATTTATGATACATGTGCTACTATAAAAGTGAGGATCCATCACATTGTGCACATAACACGTACATATCCAATTTACAAACAAGCCTGACAAAGACAATTCACCAACAGTAAACTTAATTATCAAATACAAAACTTATTAGACCCGTCACATTGTCGTTCTACCTGAGTTCCGAATATCATCGTCACGATGACATAGAGAAGGAGAAGTATGAAAGCTGACGTATATTTATGCATGATCAGCCCATTTCTTGATTTGCCGTGGTTGGTGTGTGCACCGTCGAATTGTTTAGGGGTTTGGGGGGCAGTTTGGCGGCTTTGGGGTGTTTTTGTCGTAGGTACTGCAGGATGGCCCTGCTTCTGTCAGTTGCTGCAGGTTCAGGCGTTTCATGATCTGTATGATAGGACGGCCGACGCCGAAGGCGGACTCGCCGCCGGTGGATGTGGATCGATCGTCGCCGCCGTCCAGGTCCAGCTGCCGCGCCGTCGACCCTGACACCGCCAACAGCATCAGCACCGCGATCAGCAGTGGCAAAACGAATGACGACCTACTGATCGACGTGGCCATCCTTACAACGCAAGCTGGCACACAGTTTCAGCGTAGCTAGCTAGTAGGTTTCTGCAGTGTACGTATAACCTTGTTTGTTTTCCTCTCTGAGCTATACCTTGATATAATCTGCACGGGTATATATAGGAGCTTCAAAGCTCTGCGAAATTTCCATGCAAAGACTTGCCTCCTTAATGACGACGTGCGCGACTCGACACTGCGGACTGCGGTAGACTGAGGGCGCACGCGCTGAGGTGCTGCTTTCACGCGGATTTCTTCTGCTTCTACATGCATACATACTGGTAGGTCTTCAGAACGGAAAACTGCATCCAGTCCAATTAAAAAGCTTACAATAATCTCGGGTTGTGGCCGGATGCCGGCCGGCGTAGGGTTCAGCAGGCGCGCGTTGCCGACTCCTCGATCAGTGATCAATGCCACCGTGCATGCACACGTCAAGCGCGGCCCCGCCCTGCCGGAGTCCGTCCCGGACCACGGTGAGGCGGATGGATCCACGTACGACCGTATCAATGTCTTTCAGGCCATGTTTGGTTGGGCTTTTGGCTTTGGCTTTTGGCCCCAAAAGTCAAAAGTCCAACCAAAGGGACTGTTTTTGGAGGGTGCTTTTTCGAAGCGATTTTTTTTCGTAGTTCATTTTTGAAAGTTTGGGTTGACCACTTTTTGGCTTTTAACTTTCTGCTTTTCGAAATTGGTGGAATAAAAAGCTCTTCCATAGTTGTTTCAAGAGAGATAAAGATAAAAGGTATATTTTATACTTGTTTAACCAAACAACTTTCAGCTTTTCTACAGCTCACAGCCCACAGCAGCTTTTTCACAGCTCACAGCCCACAGCAGCTTTTTCCCACAACCACAGCTCAACCAAACAGGGCCTCAGGCATGTCCGACGCGTCCAAACAAATTGAGGGCTTATTTGATCCCAATTGGATTATATATAGTACAATATCTAGATTATAGACGAGATAATAATAATAATATGTATATGGATTAATTATGGATTATAATAATCTAGACAGTTAGGATCTCTAGATTATAGATGTAGATTATTATTATTAGTTGGATTACAAGCGGCTTGCAAAATAGGTTTGAAATGGATGATTACAGGACTACAATAATCTAGGCGTTGGATTTTTATAATCCGACTCATAATCCGGGATGTTTGGATCAGTCCTAGATTTGATGCAAGTGCACACATTTTTTCTGAATTTATTCTAGGTTCTAATAACAGCACTATTCTTTTAGCATGGTAAGGTGAGTGTATGTGTATGCATGTGAGTGTCTATGTTTGTACTTGTTATGAAGAAAGATACTGAGATTTGGAACTAGAAGAGTAATAAGAGTTCAACTATCTTTCACTTATATTTTTTTGCGGGTAATCTTTCGCACTTTGTTTTGGTTGGGGTGGGGGTAACATCCTGCTTGTTTTTTTCGTTTAGAAATACTCCTTCGTCCCAAAATAACTGTATATCTTGCTTTTTCCAGTAGTTATTTTTAAGTTTAATGAGATTTATAAAAATATTATTAATATCTGTATCAACTAATATGTTTATTATGAAAAATATATTTATTAATTGAATCATACTTATTACACATTATGAATATTAGTATATTATATATATATTTGATCAAAATTCAAAAAATAAATTCTTTAAAAAGAGATATACAATTATTTTGGGATACAGGGAGTATTACAGTTCTTTGTATATAATGACCGGTTGACCGAAAACTTTCGTACAAAACAAAAGGCATAGGGGCATGCAGTGGCAATCAAATAAATGCTACTCTCTCTATTTCAAATCACAAGTTTATTCAGTTCATATATATCTTTTTCTATACATCTTAATATACATTATATCTAAATACATAACTTTTACTACAATGCATGCTAGAGAGCTAGACCTACATCGGTACATGCATGCAGGCATTATTCACGTAATGGGAGCGTAGGTTCCAATGCAATCACCATATCTCTGTTCATCTCTATTCTCTAGCGAGGAGGAGGGCATCCGATGTTTTTATCATTAGTTCCACACGAATGGCCTGGTCCTGATGACTTATTCTCATCCACCGGCAGCAGCCTGTGCAGACCTCGCCCATGCACTGACGACCTTGCCGGCGGCGGGGGCGGGGGCAACAACGCAGTGCTGGTGGAGCCGGCTGGGGAGGCTGGCTGTTCTCCCGACAACACCCGCGCCGCGGCACGGGTGGCCGAGCCTGACGTGACCATGAGAACCAAGAGCATGGCCACCACCACCTTTCTCATCGTGGGCGACATGGAGATGGCGAACATCATATCTCTACTACTCGTAGTAGCTCACAGCTCCTCTCTAGTCTCTCTTCTAACTTAGCTAAGTACTACGAGTTTTGTGGGGAAGTGGTTCGATCGCTATATGTACCAAATTAATTTATGCAACTTTGCAAGTACAGAGTGGAGCATAAGCACTAAGGTACGCGATCACCCACCAGTATTTATAATGAGGGATGTCGGTCTAGCTCTTTTTGCATTGTCAAGGTCGAACTTACTCTGAAAATTCGATGGTTTTTACGTGTGCGACTCGCACGTTAATCTGACTAATTTTAGCAGTGGGCAGTCGCAATGCACATATTCAAATTTACGCGGTTCAGGCGCTGCCAAAAACTTCTCAAATGTTATGCGGAAACGAAAAATAGTCGGTCGGCCGGCGATCGATGTATCTATCCTTCAGCTTTATGCTTGCGTGGAAAAAAGCTCGAAAGCTAGCTAGCGCTACAATTCGTCTTGTGGACCCTGTGGTCGATGTAGCTTTCCGTCGGCGCGCGCGGCGTCTTTACCGTGAACATTGTGTCTAAATACTACCCCAACGAGTTATGGTAGGCAGTTGCACTGTTGAAAGACCGGCATTGACGAAGACGGACTGGAAGCGTCAGGAATACTGGTGTGTTGTTGTGTGGTTCCACGCGAAGAGAAGAAATTGACCGTAGACGTTATTCTACTGACGCACTACTGATGATGGTTGGAGTTCACTAATTGCCTAGTGAACACGGCGTAGACGTATATACATACATGTAATGCTGTAGATTAATTTTACGTTCTGTGAAAATTCAGAAGGGAGAAATTTCTAAGAAACGTCCAAGAAAGTTTTGTCGAATTGGAACCAAAGACGGATCAACTGGAAATGCGGCGCTTGAAACAAAGTAATGCTTTCCAAAGCTGGGGAGATCGATGTTGAAGTACTGGAAGTTCGAGACAAGTATACCTTTTTTGTTATGCATTTACATTTTGATGAATTATATCTGTGGTTGATCAGACATCTAAGAAAATGAATGTAGTTATTAGTTAAGTATGTATTTCCCTTTTGGCAAAGATTAAGGTGTGATGACTTGGGACGCTATGGGCGCAAGAAACTTTTAAGAAGATCCTCCGAGCATTTAGAGCAACTCCAACAAAAAAATTATATCCTTCCTAATTTATGGAAATAGATATTTGATGAAAATATCTCTACCGGCCAGCCTTTTTAATTGAATTTCTAAATATAAACATTATTTAATATGGATTTCTCGTTAGTCAAAAGATAGAGAACAATGATGATTCTGTAGAGTGCACAACATATGAAAAAAAGCTGAGGCGTGTGGTATAGCTTATTGAACCGCTTCGAAGCTGTTTTACAGCTCTCCCTGCCAAACGGATAGAAAGGGAAACGCTTGACACACAAAGCTCCGGAAAACACGGTGAGACAAGCGAGCAGCGTGAGGTGAAGCCCAAAATAGCAGCTTCCTCGCGCTTCGTCTGACAGCGAGTGGGCCCAGATCCTTTTGCCCCTGTGCACGCAGCGAGGCCGGGCGGGTACGACGGCGAGCAGGAGCACGGGCGCTGGCCGCAACGACGAGGTGGAGCTCGGCCGTGTGCTGCACCGGTGAGGAAGTGGACCTCGACGCGGACCCGAGCGCTGTCGCTCCCGCGTCAGACCGCCGCCGCCGCTGTCGCTCTGGCCTCTCGCCGCACAGCCGGCCGGCGCGTGCGATGGCTGCCTCATCCGCGCTTCTGTTGGGATGGAGAAGATAAGCTTCCGTGCTGGGATGGAGAACAGGACAAGATAATGCGTGTTGTGTTCGGTGGATAAGAGAGAACGTGGAGAGAGAAAAGGCAAATGTAAAATAAGTAAGGAAAAATGAAGAAAAAGAAAAATAGAGGGGTATTATGGATACTTCACTAATTTGCATTTCAAGAGAAGCTATTTTATCAAACAGATCACTAAAACAGATTCAACTCTATCAGCAGAGCTGCTTTTCGAGCAGAAGCCAAGAAAAGCTAATTCACCAGTGAAGCTGAGATGTACAAAATAGGCCCGTAGAAAACGATATCTACTTAAATGACTTTTCAAATAATGATTTAGAGAGTAGATTTTAAAAAGACTCTTTAAGATGTTCTTTTCTCTCATACTCGTTTTTTTTCTTGTATTATAGTTTTTGGTTTTTTTGTAATTTACAGTCAACAACAAGAAAGATAAAATAGTAAAAGATATAAAAAAGATAAAATGTAAATTACAATATATTATGGATCCTTATGTCAAAGATATGAGGTCAGCAATGTGATGGATGCCATGAAGAACGTAACTAGCCCATTCAGGGTTCCTTATTCAAGTCACGAGTCAGAGTCCTTACCAGTTGGTCACATACGACACATCAGTCATTCTTAAATCACAATTGGAAATAGCGACCCCACTTAATTTAGCACGGAAATGGTTCCATTTTGGGGACGGTGAAGTAAACGGAGTAAGATGTGCGTTTTTTATGAGGGAATGTATATGTCAGAAAATTAGATAATCGCAGAATATATTCTTGGTGTATCAGGACTATATCTATATATATACCGCGTTAAAACAAGTATACAGATACTAAGGACTAGCCCGTGCACATGGCCTAACTGCAGAAATGAGGCAATTCAGTAGTGCTAGTAAATAGTATTTCGCTTGAACTTATCAGCTATGGTATAGTGTTTTTCTCTCATAACAAATCAGCAAACAGTA